CCCTACGGGCTCATGCAATTTTGTTAGTCTTTGAAAAAAATTACTCGTGCTCATTTATTCCAAATTGCGCTCAAAATCATGTGATTACCTATACAAAACCCTAACCTGTAATGGCATTCCAGGGCTAGGAGTAAGTGAAGATACCCTGGCAACTCGCACAACAATGGTCTGAAGTCGCATTGACTGCTCTTCCGGATATGACAGGAACTGGACATGAAAATCAAACTCATGTCAGCTGTAATTGTTCAAACTGTAGTTACTGTTAATGCTATGTCTAAAATTTTAACAAGATAAAATAGTTTTATTAAAGGAAAGACAAAAAAAAAATAACAATTCAGTTGATTGCAATGTATCAGTACAAAGTAACTGATTGGTCACTCATTCCAGACAACTGGTCACTCAGACAACTGGAAGTTAAAGCATTAAGTGCTTTTTTACTTTGTACTAAAACTAATTTTGGTCCCCTCCACTGTTCCCCCACCATTAGAAACTGTAAACAGTGGCACCTTAAGTTCCTGTTATATATTGTACATCTATCTAGTGCTGCTTGAGTTTGTCAAAAATATGGCAACCAGTCCAAAAACTGAAGCTGTCTCACACTGTTAGAAAATACAGGCCCATTAAAGGTCATGAAATTGTCACTCTTGAATGGGTGACAGAACAAATCAATAAGCTTAAAGAAAGAGGTGGTTGTAAATAAACCTTTTATGGTGCCAGTTGGAAATGTTTGGCATGCTTTTAATAAGTACAAGTTTTCTTAAACAGCAGGCTGCACCCTCACCCCCCCCCTCCCCCCCTCTCCCTACCTTAACCAAGCACCTGCAAGTTCCATGAATGAATTCAGTCAGGTCAAACTCAGTTTCAAATAAAGATACTTTTCTGGGAAAAGAAATAAGCACAAAAGTAAAAAACTAAAGCTAAGATACTTTGAGATAATTAACAACATCCACTAGAAATGATTACACGTTGACTATGTAATTAATACAAATTTGTACATCTGTTGTGTAGTGTTGTCTTAACATTCAGGGTAAACTTTCCTCTCAATTCCGTGTAAAATGATGTATGATTATTATGAGACAAATTTTAACCTTGAATAGATTTCAACAGCAAAGTGCTAGAATTTGAATGCAGCTAAATGTAATTTAACAGAGTAAACAATAAAAAGCATCAGCATTCTCTAGTAGTGAGCAGTTTTTGAATATGCACATTCATCGGAATTCCATGTGCTCTTTGTTTGAGGCGTTTGTGTGCCTTGAGCATGAACTTGCAGTGTTGTGGGAGTGGTAGGCCACATTGTCCTGCAAATCCCCCCCTCCCATTCAGCTCTCTCTTTCCACTGTTTATTCAGTGTGATGTGTGCCTGTTTTCCTTTCCTGCATGGGGGCTCATGGTTGGGTTGCCAGGATTTGCCAGCCATGGAGGAAGTCTCCATCTAAGAGCTGGCTGCTAATAATGGAAGCTCCTGGATGTTTCAGGCACCCAACCTCCACTTAGCGATGCAGTAATAAATTATGGATTTAAAACATTTGTTATCATCATACCTTCCTTTGCGAATTGTAAGCATGATACCCTTTGCTGTCCTTTCATAGTTTTCATCAATATACAGCTCAACATTCCTTGCTTCAGAGACAATGACAATGTTCTTAATGTAGAATTCCTGAGCCATAGGATGTGCTGTGAAGCTCATTTCACATGGGACTACATCACTCTGTGGGTTCGGTTGTGTGAGGATCACACCTGCACCAGCTGTCTGGACACATCCTACAACAAGCTGATCCTGGGCCCTAGAGAAGAGGAAAAATAACAACGTTTAACATGAAAGGAAACTGCTAGATTAAATACAGTAACTAAAAATTTAGAAACACAAAATTATGTTGACAGTCCCTCGTAACTTGCTCCTTGGTTCCCAATCCTCAATTCTTGGTTCTTGACCCTTAAACCTCAATACTCAAAAGTTTTGAGCAGAAACATTTTAAAAGGTTTTGAGAAGAACAAGTTTCAAGACGAGACAATCCAATTTTTTGAGTAGTACTGCAAGTGATCTACGTGTCAAATTAACTGTAGCTTCGGCTTCTCTCCACAGACAAAAATTAATGTCGCAATTAAAGAAAGACGATTATGTTGTATGATCCTTCCCTTGAGAGAAGTTTTGAGAAGGACTGTCATTGGAAATAGTGAGAGAAGTTTCCAGAAACACAGTGGAGGTCATCATAAGAATGCTGAAGGCTTCCACTGGGCTCTTTCAACACCACTCACTACTACTGAAAACAGTCCTTTCAAGGACTATTCCAGACCATAATACCAATGTTACTCTTGGGTTCAAATAATTTATTACTAATCATTGAAGAAGGATGGTAAAAATAAATTTGTTTGTCACAAGCATTGAACAAAGATAAAACCTCCTCCAAGAAGATTCAATAAACTGAGTTAAAGAAAAGTTGTTGGCACATAGGTCATACATTAAGTTTATACAGGTGTCAGTGTCTTGCATATTATTGGCAAGCTCAGTAATTTCAAAGGCTTAAACATAGAGAATCATGAATGTGAGAAATGAGTTAATGATTTATAATGAGAATGAATTTAATAGTTCTACCACAAATTGGTAACAAGGTTGTGATGCAGCTCCAAAAGGAGAATTATTCCCAAATACCATGAGATTTTTACCTCTGCCATTAAAAAGTGGGTATAAAAAGTTATCTTGTTACCACAAGTTGAGATTCTACAGAATAACCCAACCATTTGAAAATTGTTTCTGAATGAGCTGTGAATTTGACTTTGCATGTCCATTAGAAAACAACTCTGAAACCTGGCTGTGCAACCATAATGATGGGAAACAAAATGTGCAGCTCATCAATAAAAAATTAATGCAAAAAAAGAATTGTTGTTTTCTGTAGAGAATGTCTTTTCATTTAGTTCCTTACTATTCACACAAATTACCAAGAGGTTGAAAAAGAGGATCAAGATAATGTTAGGTCACAGGTAGTATTAGCCATGCTCAAAATTGCTAAAACCATAAATTACATTTTTATCACATTTAATTATAGTTACTTGATACCAATTGCCAGTTTATTAGGTCTTAATTATAAAGAAATCGTAAAATTAGGATTTCACTATAAAATATTTAATTTTCAGTTGTAAGTTGTTTTCATAAATAATACACATCCAGTGAACACATTACATGTGTATAATGATCACAATGCAGTTTAGTATCACCACAAAAGTTGATCAAGTATGTAAGACAATGAAAGAACAGGAAATGGTACAAGGAAACAATATTTGAACATGTTGAAAAGGAATTTTCCCACGCCATTATGGCAAACAAAGAAATCAGTTCACATTTAAAATACAAACGGATTGTTTAGAGAACAAACAACTCTGGATGAATCTGTTGTTTACGTTTGCCATCATGAGGAAAGGAATTTAAAAAAATGTAAGAAAGCAATAAGTTTATTTTGAGGCAAGAGTTTCTGAGCTTGGTTTTAGAATATTTCATTGTGAGTTTCCGGCTATTTTCATCGTTGAATTTCCCTCTTGCAAAAAGTCAATGCACTCATTTTGTTAGATTTAACAATAAAGTATCGATTTTTTTAAAAACTACAAACTATACAGGAACGTTCCGAAATGTTTATACATCCATAGTTTATATGAAGTAAATTAACATAAAAAAACCCGCAAGAATGCAGATCACACTTTGAGATGCTTGGATAGAGAAAGGAAGACAAAAAACCTTTATGACCTTGTTTAATTCGGCATAAATATGAAATTTATTTATTGTTTCTAGAATCTTTCTTTAACCAAAATTAATTTTGTCGTTCGTCAAGACATAGCGCAAAGGTTTTATTTCGTTTCAATCCGCCTCATCTTCGCGAAGGACATTTGTAAGATAGATGCATATATGTCACTGAAAGATATACAATACTGCAGTTCAAAAATGGAAATTTAATAATCCAATGGTTGAGCTGTTTTCTTTACTGTGTTAAAACGTTTTTAAAGTGCTAACAGAGCATTTCGAAGTAATTATTAAGGTTAAGAGCAATTGTGGGGGAGCTACTTGCTTTGAAATGAACTGTAATGATAGCTGTTCTTGAACAAAAAGGAAATTGTTTGCAATAAAAATTACAATCGGGTGATAAAGAATTCAACCAGAATTTTACGAGAAAGGACCTCCTGTGATTTCACCTGGTTTGTTTGGTTTGCTTTATAAAGGCAAAAGTTAACCTGCGCTCGTCGAGATAAAACGAAAAGGTTCATCGCATAAAAGAGATCTCAGATTGTTACAGTATGTTTATATAAGCACCTCAAAGGATTAATTGAATAAGCCCGTTTTTAGAAAGCGTGAATCACGGCGAACGATTTTACCACAAAACACGATGGGAAACGCTACTGGTATCAACATACAACTGCGATTTTGTTGGAAAATCATCAAACGGATAAACTTCGCTGACAAGAAATTTAATATTATTACTGTTAGTACCGTTATCAAATGCAATATATAGCAGCAATGTTCGATCTTATCTCACCTCGTTTCGCTGTCACCTACAACATGAAACACAGCCGACTGTACAGCTTGTATATCCCAGCCTTCAGGGTAATCCCACGAAAAAGCTATCTGAAATCTCGCCCAAAAGCTCGATAAATCCCCTAGATCCATTTACCAGTCGAGTGCTCCACAGGACTCTTCGATCAATGCGATGGTACGCTTTCACCGATGATGGATCGCTGCCCACACATGGTGCTACTGAAAGCGAACGAGACAAAAAACAACGAAGAGGTGCCTAATCCTTTTATACAAAACAAAAAACTTGCACGCATTCAGCGACGTAGCATGAAGCTTGTAAGGCTTGTACTGGTTTATGTAATTACAGTCTTAAGTCAAACAAAAACCTTCCCGACTTCCGATATGAAAAGAAACTTTTTGCGTTCTGTGAAAAGCGCGAAATCCACAACAAAGTAGTACTCAGGCTGCCGCGAGGTGTCCTTACGAAAGTAAGGAATGGAACCAAACAAGGTGGAAACTGGAACGAAGTCTGTGAAAACTTCAACTTGGTATCTGATCAATCAAATGTTTTATAGGAGTCATTTATTTCTAGATTACCCTTGCTGTGTGTTCCATAAGATAGAGGAATGCCAGGTTCATATATTACAATTTTATTTTTTTCCTTTAGCAAACAACCCTTGCACTGTATCGTAATAATCTTTCAAAATAAATTTAACGCTTATTTTTTCCTTAGTGCATATAAATTTAAAGCTAGAACGGTCGTAAACACGTTTAAAGACGTTCATTGTTTTGCAGTTAAGGTATACTCTTAGCTGATACTGCACAAACTCCATTTTCGCATAGGAAGCCAACTTATGAAACATTACAATTAATATATAATGTGTTCCAAAAAGTTCTCTTAATTTTCAGTTTTTACATAGCCCAGGCCTCGAGATCTTTCAGGTCATCATCATCACGCATAGTTTTGTCTTTTGATGACGGATCTGCTGATGGAACGTTCGGTAATGCTGCGTTGGGACGTTCCATTCCAATAAGTTCCTTGTTGAGATTTTCTTGTTCTATGGCTTCCAGCTCGGCTTCGAGTTCTTCATCATCGAAGTCTTGATTCATACCAACACCACAGATTGCCTCCGAAATCTCTTTAGAAATTTCTGTCTGTTCCTGAATATCGTCCATAATGTCGTGAACGTCCTCCACATCGAGAACTTGATGAATGCTCTTCAGTGTTTTGGCAGCATAATTCATATTCTTCAAAACTTCGGTGTTCGTGTTAGCGTTTTCCAAGGCTTCACGTTGAAACTCTATGGTCGATAAAGTTCCATCGATCTGATTGAGCTGTTTTTCATAGCGCTTTCGCCTTTTCAAGGCTTGCAGTGCAATTCTCTTGTTCGTTTTGGCGTGCTTCTTCGCTGTTGAATTCTCCATGTCGATTTTTTTCTCCAAGAATTCTTGCTTTTTTTCCAACATTTCCTCGGTCTGTCTCAGTTTTTGGATTGCATCTTCAGTTGTTGGAATATTTTCTTTATTCTTACCTCCAAATATTCGCTGCAATACACTCATTATGGAAGCGAAAGACCAGAAGAAAATGCTGCTAATTTCACTGAAGCACAATCAACGGTTGCCTCTTTCAAATTTTGTTCTAAATAAAGAAATTGAGTAACGCGTCAATCAAATGTCACGGGGTCTAGTTCTTCTGACTGTCACGGTTATTCCTGAAACCGGAGGTTGACGTAGTGTTAAACATGGCGGCGCAGTCGCTGTATTTTGGCTGGCTCTTTGTGGTATTCTTTTGCTTCAAACACAATCAGTGTGAACCATTTCAAGCTCCAAGTTATACCATTGACCTCGATCTTGCTCCAGAAGAAAGATGGCTCAATATTACTCAGAAATACCTAAAGTTCACCCCGAAGATTTTAGCAGATATGCGAAAGAAAATTCCACCTTTTGTAATGCCGCTTGCAGAAAGGCTTGCTCCCGTCATTGCTGAACATTTCCCCGAGGAATACAGCAGAGAAATGATGGGAATATCAAAAGGACTAAACATAAGTCTTCCAGACACAATAATTCTCAACATTTTATACGACATAACAGCTTTTTGCACGAGTATTGTTGCACAAGGCAAGGATGGAAGCGTTTTTCACGGAAGAAACCTGGATTATGCCTTTTCAGATACACTGCGAGATATAACCTTCATATCCAACTTCAAAAGCAAAGGTAAATTATTAATAACGTTTCGGAAAAAAAGTTTACAATTCCTCTAGCCTGTGCCATGGAAGATGTGATTAAGAGAAAATTTAGGCTCATCCTCGGTGTAAAAACCTGTGAAACTCACAAGTGACGTAAAACAAAGACAACACAACATTATAAACAATAGCGTACAGCAAAACAGTACCTCATGAAACAAGGAAAACCTCGTCAGGTTTTTACACCAAGGATGACCCAAAATTTAAGATATTAATTACCCTGCGAGCAGAGCCTTTTTAACCCTTTTCCCTTGGAGGGTAAAAAAGAAGAAAAGACGAAGAAAAGAAGAAAAGGCTCTGCTCACAGGGTAGATATTTAGTAAATAAACCCCTTCAGGCGGCTGGTAGGTTGGCTGATAATGTCCGCGGTTGAGAGATTGTCTGAAAAATGAATATTTGGCCCAGAAGCAGAGCTTCGAGGGCAAATATGAAATTTTGAGGACAATCTCTCAGTCAAGGACATTATCAGCTGACACACCAGCAAGCCAGAACGGGGTTTATTTATTTTATAACCCTCCCATTAATTTTCGCATCACAATTAAACTGCATGTAAACACAGCAAAAAAGCCAGTGGTGATCTGATGGCGAATGCAT